TCTTCATTTGATGTTCTAGGGTTTCAGGATTGTTGATTCTCTGTTTGGCTTAGTTTTTCGGATCTTTGTTGTGGAGGGACGGCGTGGTGCTTCTGAGAAGGCTACATTTTAATGCATAATAAACATAACATACATTGTCTGCCATTTTTCCAGGGAATAAAACTCAGTTTCCTCATCTGAAAAGTGAGGGGTTTAAACGAGATGATTTCTGGGGCCCCTTACAGCTTATAGGCCGAACAAATGAAGCTGCTGAGTGAGCTGCTGCTGTCTTTTCATAGCTCCTAGTGAAGCTACCAGGGTGATGACCTGTAGCATCTCACTGCAGTGCATCTTACCTCCCCTTCTCCTCCCTTTTTGTCCTTTCCTTCACTGCCCTGGGCTTGAATCTCCCAAATTGTTTGCATCTTAATCTTTGCCTCAGGCTCTGCCTTTTAGAGGCCTCAGATCCAATCAACAAAAAAATGAAGTCATGCTCTACTCCCATATGGAAATCAAAACAAAAACACTACTAAAGCATAAGTGTAAGGAAGTCCAACAAAGGTCTGATTTTTCTCCTAGTGATTACTTTGATGCTATTTTTGTGTGGGGTGGTGGGGTGGGGAGGAGAGACATCAAATATCTCAACATTTTAATCCTCTTTCTCTTCGGAGAGGAGGGTGGCCCTGATTTTGGTGCTCAGTGAGACATCTGGGTGATCCAGCTCTGATGCTAGGGAGGTGGGACAGAAACTCTAGGAGCAAGGAGGGGCAACTATATAGTTCAGTCCAGTACTGTATATGCTTTCTCTCTCTGTAGAGGTGAAATCTGAAGCCTATTTTATCTTGTGTTAAGAAGCAACAATACTGAGAAATGTAGTTTTCACAGCTGACAGTGGTAGCTCTGAAGTCTACAGCAGTTAAGTTCTGCTGTGATACTACTCAGCAAACAGCTACACCGTGTGTACAAATTCAGCCAAAGATGTCCGCACACGTGGTATACTTTACCTGTTGTTGAAAACACCCAGAATCTCAACCCAAGGGGGAAAAGGAGTGAGGAAAGAACACAGACAGTCTGTTACTAATATGGATTTCACTTTATTTAAAGCTGATGCAGATAATACCGCCTTCCAAAGAGCAAAAGCAGTGATCCAAATGCTCACAACCACTCATGCCATGAACACCTGCATATACACACACATTGCAATCAGAGATTCAAAACTTAGCAGGACTCAAATGTTCGCACTTTTGGAGTAAATTTAGCTAAAAGATCTGTGGGTGCTAAATAACCTATTAATCATAAGTTGAAAGACTTCAATGAATCACCAAAAACTAAATGTATAATCTGATTAAAAAAAAAAAAAGGCAAGAAAAATAATGACATATCATTCACTTTAAGCTTCCTCAACTCTCTGGACAAAGGAAAAGATTCTAAGTTTTCAGTTTTTCAAATAGGGCTTCCTTGGAGGAAATCAGCTTTGAGCACTGTGCAGGAATCCATTTCTGAGAGGAGCCCAGAATAATGGGAAGCCTGTAAGCTGCTCCTCAGAGAAGTACCCCTGTGGGAGGCAGTATAGCTGTGGGGTGCAGAAGACCTGGAGCCAGACTACCTGGTTCACATCCCAGCACTTCCATTGATTACCTCTGTGACTTCTGCGAGTTACTTACCCTCTCTGCGCCTACCTTCTCATTTATCACATGGGAATACCTTTGCGTAAATCACACAGATGGAAAGCTGTTATAAAGGGGACAGAACAAGTGTTCACTAAAGATTAGCTATTCATAGCTCATCTTGAAGATGAAAACATACGTGTGGGTATGCGTACCTTTAGGAAAGGAACAAGATATCTTAGTTCACCAGTTTTGGAGGGAGACAGACATGGAAAACCAGATAATCTGCTAGGATAACTCTCTTCTGGAATGGAGAACCATCTAAAAGTAAAATCTGACTTCACATATTTTTTACAGTAAGCTCAACTCACTGCCTTTTCTCTGTCCACAAATAGTATCAGGAAGGAAGAATTTAATGGAAAAAATGTAACTTGGTGGGGCTTAGTAAAGGGGTGAAAAACTACAATGGGGGGCTACAGTTACTGTGCAGATGAAGGCTATGGGAACGAAAGTAAGTTATTTATCTGTTAAAACTAGAGGCGGGGTATACACAAACATGCAATAATATACAGAAGGAAAAATGCTGAGAAATGAGTAGCATCACTATGGCAGGGCACGTGCACCCCGAATGGCAAGTACCTGGGATTGGCAGGGAGCAAGAATCTGCTAGGGTCTCGGTCAAAGCTGAGACACCAAGTGATCCTGAGTAAGAAACTCAGTTTTCCAAATCAGTGGTGGGGACTCCAGAAATGGCTTTCTCACTCCTGCCTGACTCTGCTGAAGGTTTGGGAAGCATATATCCCTCTGCAGGGCTGCTAGCAAACTGAGTCTGCAAGAAAAATTTATTAATCATCAACTGTATACCAGGCTCTGTGTCATTAAAAATAGTAGCCTTGTTCCATTTATGACAAAGCTTGTCCAGTCTCGGCTCCTGGCCACTTCTCTTGCCATGGGGAGGGAGGGGATGTGGGTCTCTAACTGTCCACAACCCAAGCCTTGTTTTCAATCCTTTCACAGTAGGATTTCACTTTCACAGGAAGAGATTCAAGAGAAAGGAAAACATAAAGGACCGCCCCACAGACGGCAATGAAAAGAGGACCATCAACTGACACCTAGAGGTCTAACCGAGGAGTACAGACGATGACTTCACACCCACAGCAACCTTCCTCCCACTTCAGGGCCGACATAAGAATGAGGCACGGCATCTCTGCAGCAAAATTACACAGATCTTTGGGGCTTTTGTTTTCCATAGGAAGTAAACTCGTTGCCATCGAGTGGATTCCGACTTACAGCAACCCTATAGGACAGAGTAGAACTGCCCCACAAAGTTTCCAAGAAGGGGCTGGTACACCGACCTTCTGGTTAGCAGCCGAGCTCTTAACCACTGTGCCGCCAGGGATCCCCCATAAGAAGTAACACTCCATAAATGACAGACTAGCAGTTTCTTACTCTTACACAAACCACTTCTTGAGATCAAATTTTTAAAACAGTGTTTGTAACTTAATGTTTTACATCGGTATTTACTCTGCCTCCTCAAATATCTTTTGAAAGGTGGGTCAAGACTTCCTTCCAGCAATCTTCCTATTCTATTCCTTTAGCTTTCAGCTCCTCTTTGACACGTCGCAGGTAATGAGGATCAGGGTAGCCATACCTGCAAAAGGAAAATCCCTTTAGCTTCATCACAAATGGTTCTTCAGAATCTGTACAGTAGAGCCTTGTTACTTGGGGATTTAACATTCAGGGTTGCAACCATTCACAAGCAATCCTGAAAGCTGATGACTTACAACGACTAAAAATGTGTACCTCTGAGTCAGAGAGCTAGTGAGTGAGCCTAGTTTTCTGCCCAGGATCTATCTTTCAACAAGGCTTTTATTTTGCTTTCAGTACACCGTACGCAGTGACTCTTCTAAAGTTATCTGCCACACATACTGTATTTTATGGGCGACTTTCTCTTCTGTTATACATCAGGTCGCCGTGAGTCAGAGCCAACTCGACAACAACTAACAATAATCAGATTCTATAGTAGGATTTTCAAATTTGTGGAACTGCAAAGGTCTCAGGCTGTATTCCTATTTGAATACCAAGGGTCTGAAGTATTTCTATCTGAAGTTCATACAGAACAACTGGATTGCCTGTAATACAGATTCCCCACCTTAGTCCTCTGAAAGCTAAGGCTTTTTTCTAGAGTACTATTAGCCAAGTGAGTTTAGATTCTCAGTGTACTGATGGGTGGTGAAGGTAGAAGAACCAGTGATCTTTAAAAAAGCAAAGTAAATAACATTCCTGGGATCTAAGCCCATTGCTATCGAGTCAAATCGAACTCACAACAACCCTACAGGACAGAGTAGAACTGCCCCACAGGGTTTGCAAGGCTGTAAATCTTTACAGAAGCAAGCAGACTGACACATCTTTCTCCCACAGAGCAGCAGGTGGGTTCAAACCACCAACCTCTCAGGTAGCAGCCGAGCACTTAACCACTGCTCCACCAGGGCTCCTATCTGTAGGATCTACCCTTCGAATAAGCATGAAACCCCAAATTAAATTAATTTAGATACTATTCATCTAGGGTTCTGAAGCCCCCTGTCCTTTAATGCAAAATGTAATGACTGTATGATAGTTTGTACTTGGGAGGGTAGCAATGAGGGGAACTTATCTTATGGCCTTTGAGGTGATCATTCTATATTAGAATCTCTCAAAATACTTCACTGTACCCAATCCCACTGCTGTAAATAAAGTCTCCTTATATCACATCCTCAAATTGCCGTATTTCACAATCTCTAAATTATGTTTAGCAACCGTTATATTTCGGGATCTCTCACATTTTTGGTCCCCCCGATGTGGACGTTTTGTGGTGGATATCATTCCATGTAATGACATCTGAGGCTCCAAATGTTCGAGACTCCCCCACTGTGAAGATCAGCTTTTGCTCAAAGGCCCTACAAAGCAGTCTCAAAACCTCGTTTCCTTCCACATTATCAGGCAAGTATGCAATTCGCTGAGTTCCAGGATATCTCCTTCCTGGGTTTGGGTGATCTTTCTGTATGAAGATAAGAAAACGTCACATGAAAACACTCCCCTCTCTAAATTTTAAAGTCTGGATACATGTGTCATTTGCAGATAGAGAAAATCATAAAAAAATATAAAAAAATTGAAGGTTTGCTCCTATCCCCAATAACTCATATATCTCTGTTTCCCCAGATTCATGTGGGGTACACTATCCACCCTCTGGACTTCCCTTCCTAATTCATACTCATCCAGCCTTTCTCTTCCTTAAGCAATAGGCACAAAAGATACCTGACTTACAAGCAGCCATTATGACCGTTATCACTATTTCAAGCCCTTGTCACGTGGCCTTGGAAATAATTCCCTGGGAAACACTGTCTAAATAGGCAACAGGACAGTCTCTTTTGCCCTGGTAATCCTAGCATAGTGGATAGAAACCCATGGAATTCAGAAATACTTACTGTTTGTAAGCCTCCCCTCATATTGTAAGTAATCACAATGGTGCCACAGGATTCATAACCTGGAAGTCTTAATGGTGAACAAGTGACATCCATGGTTCCATCTGGCTGGTTCCCTTTCAGAACACCGTAGTGGGTCTGGCACACAGGACAGACTGGCTTATATGACATGGCTTTTTTGATACAAGGGGTGCAGAATTCATGCTTGCAATTTGGTAGCACGTGTTTGTTAGTAATGGTGTCCATACAGATGGCACATGTGTCCTCTTCCTTCTTGTCCACTTCTGAGGCCCCAGAACTGGTAGAGCCCTTGACTGGAGGTGAGGCTGTTTCTGAATCATTACTATCAATGTCCATGAGTGTCCCATGGTCCTCATTCCATCTCTGTCCAGCTGACAGAGGCATTCCCTCCCTCCCTAAGACATACTGCTTTGCCTTTGCAAGGTGACTTGGCAAACCAGTCAGATGCACTGACTCTTGAGTCAACACCATGTGTGTATCTGGATGCTTTTCTCTAAAGTCATCATGGAACTTAGCCCCATGTAAGTGCTGTCTGTCCTTGCCCGAAAGTTTCAGCGAAAGAACTTCTCTCATCAGCTGACATGAGACATATTGATAGGCATCGATGAAATGTACACACGCATGTGCAGACAGATCAACCTCCTTGTCCTTGGGTTCAAACAGGATGCAGGTTTTCTGAGCATCATTAGTTTTCCCAGAAGCCCTGACGTTAGTGTTGTACTTTGTCTCTATCGCTGGTATCTCCTGCTGTAATGCAGCTTCCAGCAGCTTATAGTGAGCAGTGTCAACCTCAATTCCAGTCCTCAGGCCATTGGGAGCCGATATTTCCACACGTGTCTTCACAGGACTTTCAGAGATTTGGGGGGCAAGAAAACGTTTGGCGGCTGAAACATCGTCTTGGGGCCCAAGGACAGTCAATTCCCCTCCTCTCTCCTTTATAAGGAGCTTTTTAAACTGCTTGTTTAATGCCCGTTTGAGTTCACTGGCCTGCTTACAGTCTGCTAAAAGGACACTCTCCTGCTTCAGAGAGTCTGTGCTCTTCTGAAATTCACGGACAAAAGCCTCACGAGCCGCTTCTAGGTCGCCAAAATGACTTGAGGTAAAGTCTAAATAGACCATATTCAAAGAACTCGCCTGAATTTTGATGTTTACACCAAATCTTTTCTCTATGAATTCCATTTTATCAGGACAAGTATATTTGAAGTATTCAAAGAAAGGCAAGGGAACTTCAAAACAGTGGCTGTTTTCTTCTTTCCTGCTCTGCTGCTCAGGAGAAGAGCAGCTGTTCTGGTCCTGCTGACTGAGGGGCTCCTTCTCTGGTGTTAAAGGGGAAGATTCATACATCTGCTCGCTTTCCAGCAGTTGCTCACTCAAGAACTGATGTATTTTTTCAATATCTCTGAAGTCACCACACACCGTCTCCATTCCATTGAGACCCTCCATTGTTTTGACATTGGGGTAGAGAGTGGTTATCTGTTTCCTCAGCTCTTTGGAGAACAGGTTACAGTTCAGCTCAGCTGTTGCAGCAAGAAAGATCTGTAATTTAAAAAGGAACAAAGGAAATCTCTCAGATATCCAGGCCTACATTCCTCTCTTCAGGAAAACACATAGAGGCCAGAGAAATAACCACGATATCTTCCCTTAAAGGGAGGGACGTCTGGCAAATCTTTGCAGAGGATGTAACATGCTACAGTCCAGAGGGCCTCAGCCTTGTCTGCTCAGTAGAATCACCTGAGGAGTTGAAAAATAACGCCAAGGCCCACGTCTCATCCCCAGAGATTCTGATGGATCTGGTTTGCAGTGGGGACTAGGCATGAACATTTTTCATAGGCTCCCTGGATAAGAAGTCTGGATTCCAGAGCTGCCACCATCTGTGTGACCGTAGTGAGTGGGGTAGAGGGAAGATGCTTGTGTTCTCTGGGTAAGTTGCTGTGGTTCTTCAAAAAAGTCTGTCAGCCTGAAATAGAGCCATAAATCTGAGGAGGATGTTTTTTCCTACTACTGCATTTTCTCTTCTTCTCACATCTCCTCTCTTTTTTTTTTTAAACTAAACACCTGTCTACATGCAGTGTTCCTGGGCCCTATAAACCCTGGCATTCGGAAGCTCCAATATAAGACAGACATATCAGATTAGGACAAAAAGGACTGAGGCAAACTGAATGTAATATAAAAGAAAATCTGTAATTTTTCTTCCACCCCAAGGCCTTTGCACATGCAATTTCCTCTGAATGCAACATCCTTCCCTCAGACCTTCCTTCAACATGTTTCCTGAATCCTGCCACTACTCACAGCTCCACTTGGACAAGCCAGGTCCAAGCCATTATCATCTTTCATGGGCCCTCTGCAGATGCTCCTAAGTGGTCTCCATGCTTCCACTCTAGCCCCTTCCTACCTTCTGTTCTCCACACAGCAACCAGAATGATCCTTTTAAAATGTACATCAGGTCACCCCCCTCCCCGGCTCAAAACCATCTGATGAATCCACTCACATTTAAATTAAAATCCAAAATCCTTACCATGGCCTTCATCCCCTTAAGATTCAGCTCCTGGGTACCCCTCCCAGCTCCTCTCCTATGGCTCTCTCCCGTGCTCACAGCCCTCCACCCACTCTGGCCTCCCTCAAGCTCCCGCAGCTCCGGATGTAGCTCCTGTCTCAGGGCCTTTGCACTTGTGCTTCCTTCTGCCCGGAACATTCTTCCTCCAGAAATCCACTTAGCTACCCTGCTCACTCACTCATATCTCTACAGATGCCACCTCCTTAGAGAGGTTTTTCCTGACATCCTACTTTAAATCGCAGCCTGCCACCTACCCTGCTCTACTTTTCTTCCTAGCGCCTACCACTTGCAGACATTTCACTGTGTATCTATTTTTTCCTACCATTGTCTGTTTTCTCAGTAGACTGTAATCTGCCTGAGGGCAGGGTCAGCTATGGTCATGGCTGTATCCCCAGCTCCTGTGACAGTGCCTGGCACACAAGAGGCATTTGATATCTATTTGTTGAATGAATCTTTGCATGGCTGGCTCCTTCTCATCATTCAAGTCTCAGGACAAATGTCACCTCATCAGAAAAGTTGTCTCTGACTTCTGGTCAGAAGTAGCATCACCTCCACCCTCCTCTTCCTTGCTCTCACCCTGTCTGTCTCTAAGGCTAAACTCGTTTTATTTTCTTCTTAGCACATATCACTCTCTGAAATGGTTTTACTTTGTTTACTTGCTTACTGTCTTTCTGTGTAGGACACTGCAACCTCCAATATAAGCTACATGAGAGCAGGGACCTTGCCTGCTGTGCTCACCTCCCAGGCTCCATGCCTAAACAGTGCCTGCCTCATAGTGGCCCTCAGCAAATGGCTGTTGGAGGAATAATGATGAGGTGTGGTCTGGAGAGGAAGCTGCAGGAACATGCCCAGCTCCTTTCAGCACTCACCTTTGACACACAGGAATCCGTGGTGTTAGGAGTTTGTCCTTCATCGGGATGCTTCCCACCAGACAGCGCGCCTGCTCCTGACGATGTCACCAGGGAATTTCTCTGACTCATGTTCTTCTCTATTGGATTTTCAGTGGGTTCCAAGAAAATGCTCACAGGATTGTCTTCAACCAAAATTTGGTGCTTTCCTTTTTTCAACACACTCTCCTTAGCTTTAGTACAGACATTAAACACAGAGAGAGAGAGAGAGAGAGAGAGATTGAGAAGTGGGAGAGATTTCAAGTGCTCCTCTTATTCATGCATCAGTGCCCTGCCTCCTGCATCCTGGTATGGAGGGCTGCTGAGAGGGAACTTGGGAGATCTTGAGAACTCATAAGTGGGCAGGTTAACGTTTTACTGTAGAAACGAAAGCTTAATGACAATGGAATATTATCAACTCATGAAAAGTCATATTTCAGAAACTTGATTTCCAGTCTCACATCTCAATGACATGAAAAAATACACATTTATAAAGTAAAGTGAAAAAAAAAAAGCAGGAATCAAACGTGTAGAGTCAGAATTTTGTACATATACATGTGTTTGCAGACATTCACAGAAAAGTGCTGAAAGGAAGTACACCCACATGTTCCAATTGCTTCTCTCCAGGTAGTAGGATAAAAGGTGGTTTGGGTTTTCTTATTGCTTCTATCTTTTCTATAGTGAGCATACATTACTGTTGTAATCCTCAAAAATACATCAATGAAATCATTATTTAAGATTATTAACTATGCATTGTTATTAATAAAAATTTATTAATGAAAATTTTTCTTTCTTTTTGTCATGCTAAGTCTTTGTAATCCAGTGTGCATTCCACTTTTTTTTTTTTTTTTTTTACCACATGTTGTTTTATGACATTGGTTAACAACCCCACAACATATCAACCCTCTAACTTCTCAACCTTTTTTTTTTTTGGTGAAAATACACATAGCCAAAT